ACACACACACACACACACACACACACACACGCACACACCATTATACTTGCATGAAACTGAGGACTGACTTCCATTCACTTTACATTCTAGCAGAGCTGCAAAAACGCGAGGACCAGGAAAAAAATACCTCACTTTCCAAAAATGACCTCACTTAGTTGGTTAAAAAYCTAACATGGTCCTCACTCTGTTGCAGAAACAAGTACACACACACAGACACACTGAGATCCTGTCTAATTCCTGAACAAAAACACATTCTTTCATTTGCAAAACTCTTAGACTTTATTCCCCCTGCCTGCACCAGTTATTGCTCACCGTATTTCACTTGTACTTTGTAAATATCATATTTAATTTATTTATTTTATTTGGTGCCTCTTCTTGTTTTATAGTGAGTAGAACAGTTTTTTTCATCCTAAGTATTTAATTGTATTCTTGACCTGTGTTACAGCTTGTGACAATAATCCTCCATCATCCTGCATCTTATTGCCTGAAGCTGTAAATCAGGCCATAATGTTTTTGTCCATGTGTTTTTATGTCTGTGCAAAAATATCTCACGAACCACTGGAAAATGTTCATGAAGCTTTCATGAAATTTATCACTGGATGTATGGTAACTGTTGGAGCCAACCAAATCAATTTGGTAAATTATTAATATAACTGTTACCTACCTGTAAACCAGCTAACCTCTCTTGTTTTTCTGCAGATGAAAACATTTCCTACCGTTTCCTATACAAAAAAGCCTTTCACAATCACCATCTACTTTGTTTCAGATTTTTATTTTTATTTCTTTTTTGCTCTAATATTCAAACCCTATAAAAATATTATTCATTATGACACCACCTTTTATTTACAAAAAAAACCTTAACCATAGAAATACATTAAGATCTCTAATTCTTTCAGCAACATTGTTCTCTTTGACATCTGCTTTGCTCTGTTTTTGTTCTTTTTATATTTTTAAGTTTTGCCTTTTTTTTTCAGTCTTTAGCTACATAACCCTCTAAGATCTGGGGTCTAAATGGCGATTGTGGCTCATTTTGAATTTACCCTTATATTTTCATCTTAAAAACTATTTCCCTTGCCCTGTTTGGTATCATTATTTTCAGCACAACCAAAATATCGACTACACTCAATTTTCCCATCTCCAAAACACTCTCTCACGTTCTCCACAAGGGAGATAAAGTTCTCCAAGCTTTTTTTATTGGTTACTTTGGAAATGTGGTGTATTTCAGGAAATCAGAAAAATGGGCGTCATGTTGCATTCAAGCACTTCCTGGTCAAAAAACGTTCACTGAATGTGCAGCAACTGCATAAAAAATGCTCACAAAATTATGGTGAAAATGATTTATCATGAATCTGGTTTTATTTGGAAGTAAATAAAAAACAAAAACAATATAAAAACACTCATTTTATAGAGTTTGAAGTCTGTGCAGTCCAACCCAGTTGAAATGAGCACTCAGCATGCTGACATTTTAGTTGCAGTAGCCTTAAAACCTTGGACCTTAGAGGGCTAAAGCTTTGTGGACTGTTTCACTACATTTAGCTAGTCTGGGATAAAGCTAACTTTATACTTAACTATTCTTCTCTTAGCTCACTCACTCTGTCACTCAGACATCAACACTCATACTGCATTTTCACAGAATATAATTTACTTTTGCTTACACACCTTAGTTAATCTTCAGTTTCCAATAAAACCACTAAAATCCACTCAAACACATTTGGTGTCCTTAATTACAATCAAAACAGTTTTTCTCTCTCTCTTCTGTTTGTTCCCCCTACTTTTCTGAGGCTTCAGCAGAAAATCAGTGTTATATTACAAGATGAACTTTGACAAATGGCTCTCCAGAGTCTTTTGACAGTGATTATTTGCCATTTTTAAGAATCGAAGTTACATTTTATTTTAGAAGTGAACATTTCTGTTATCATCTTGACTCGAGATTGAAAGGAGAAAACGTTAAACAAATTTCACATTTGACTAATGTGACATTAGCCTAAACTTCTTATAAGTTAAAATTTTGACTCAGTTATATAAGTGCAAAAAAAAAAMMAWWAAAAA